TACCGATTGCATTTGCTTATTTTTCTAATATATATTTCATTGTAATTTTGTCAATAACAGTGCATTTAATATTTGTTAACATATGTTCGTAATAATTCGTTATTTAATGTAATTTGTTTACATGTTATAATTCAGTAATTGTAAACTGGAGTATCTCGCTTAGTTTGTTAGCGTATATTCGCGCTTTTATTTTCTCATTTCAAAGAATTTAATAACTAGCATTAAGGAATTGTAAAATTTTCTTCAGTGTTATTTGCAAGCACTTGTTATATTCCTCAGTGTTTTTTATGTATGTATGAAAGGAACTTATGGTAAATCCTGAATTGTTTTTATTGCTTAAAAGTATAATGAATAAATTTTCAACTAATATATCCTAAATTTCAGTCTTTTTCTGAACGAAAATGTGTACAGTTCCAAAGGAATGTGCAGAATTTCATAGGTATTATATTTACATTTTGAATGCAAACACTGCTTCACATTACTTCGCAATAATTTCAGCTTTCTAGTTGTTTGAACAGTACAGCAAAAAATATTTTTAACACAGTAATTTAATTTACATTTACATTATACTCTACGAAGATTAAACGCCAGATTTGTTTACAATCAGATGGCGGTACATCTACCATATACCGTATTTATCTTCTTTTCAAATCGCGCCAACATAGTAATTACGCCAAATTGTTTCTGGGCATGCGCAGTATGCGATATTCGTTTAACACTGTTCAACTCAATGTGCGGTCTGCCATTACGCTTTCCGGGCAGCGATGTACATTATAAAGATCGCAGAGGAAGAAGATTAGTTTGGAAATAGAGTGGAAATGAAGGAAATCAAGGACTTAATTCAATTTTGCTAAGCTTAGCAAAATTTTCCATCACCAGATTCAAGCAGCAGCTATCGGGGTCAGTTCTTGGGTGGGTGACCACCCACGTGACGAGCCTCGACGAATCACATGTTCCAAAGGCGGAGCTGAAAGTTGCAACTGACTGAGGAGAATTTAGAACTCGATCTTATGGCTTTGCCGTCTTAAAATTTGTGTCTTCCGTCCCCAGGACGCGGTGTACAAGATAGTGCCCCTTTTATCTAATCCTTTATCACCTTTTATCCGCACAGATACCATATAATAAAAATACCGCTGGAGCCCAAGGGCCAAGATATCTACTGATAAGTAGTCTTTTGTAGTAGAGACCAGATGTGAAACTCATGATTCAGATCCAGACTCCTTTCCCGTGTCGATTTTTAAGAACAGATGGAGCTTAAAGTGTCAAATCTGTAAGCAGTGGCGTAACTAGAACTCTTGGGCCCCTATGCAAAAAAATTTCCTGGGCCCTTTTCCCTATAAATTTAATGTGCTTAAAAATAAATAAATAAAAAACGCGAAAAAAAAAAAAAAAAAAAAAAATCAGCGATTCCAGGAGCCAATGTTTTCATGATGATTTTTATCACATCTAGATTAATTGTTAAAAAATAAAAGCGCGTTCTTAGGGAACCAGTTGAAAGATGCGTAACGTGAAGAAAGAATAAAAAGGAAAATAATTAAATGAAAATTTGCTTTAGTCTGGGTATTTGACGTCAGATGATTTTAATTCAGTTAATTAAGACTTTTTGTGTGAGTGCGAGAGACAGATTTTTTTCTCCTTTCATTGAGATGCATACTGATAGTAAATGAAAGAGTCTATATAAAATGAATAAGTCTATATAAAAAAAGGAACATGTCGACGTAGGATGCATTAAGAAAAGGAAGGAAATATGTCTACTGATTATTCGATTATAATGCGAATACAGAAACATATACAAAAACACATTAATACATAAAATAAGTACTTTATAATAAATAGTTACAATTAATTTCCACTTCCACCGCTTTTTGATTTGGGGTCGCCTTTAATAATTTTCAGGTTTGAGACTTAATAATACAAAGAAACTTTTCCTATTTTTCGCTCACTGCTATCCCCAAACTAGGGTAGGTCACGAAGTTATTATTTCATAGTCGAATGCTGGAATTTTAACTTTTGCAAACACTAGCTGTGTCAGGTGCTTCCAAGGGCCTCCTATCTGCGTCATACAAAGAATTGCGTCATTGCACCAAACAGGTAGGGGGTCCTTAAAAACTTAAAAGAAAACGAATTTTATTATCTACATATACTTAAGGATTCTAAAGCTAAAAGTAAATTGGAGTCAAATGAAGGCTATTCCTCAACTATATTAATATTAACAATCGTGCAAAAGGGGTTTAACACAAAATCAAAACATATCAAAATTAAAATAAGAATTTATGGTAGTACAAATTCTAAAATAAAAATGAAAAGCAAAAGGGAAAAAAATACAAGATAAAAAATATCAATTAATCTTCTTTTATTGAAATTCTAATTCCGAACTAATCAAAGGAAAATGAATTAAAGCTTCTATATATATATGTAATGGAATCCGTCTTTTAAGTTTAAACATGTAAATGTAGTTTAGCAGGACATTTAAGGGCCCTCTAAGTCTTCGGGCCCCTATGCGACGGCATTCCTTGCATACCCTTATTTACGCCACTGTCTGTAAGACTACCTAAAGCCTGGTTACTATGGCAACAATGCTTTCCTTCCTCTGTACTCGTTTGGCGGGAATGTTGAGTAAGCCATAAACCATTTAAACACATCTTTTCAGTTGAACAAAAGACCTGCTGTCATTTCTTCCGTCTGTAACTCAAAGCCTGCAGGGTATATTTTGACCAGGAATAAAGAACTTTTCCACTTATGTGTTAAATGAAAGCTATCTGTGAGATATAGGCAGCAGTCGCAGTTCTCTTCTTAAAAGTATAGTTATATTACCAGTAAGGTGACCAGATTTTCCGAAAGGCAAAGCGGGACGCTAGGATCAAAATTTGGGTGGTGGGGAAGGAGGGTGGGTGAGAGCTAAGCCCCTCTGAAGGTGAAAATACGGAGTGCAAAATTTTTAGTGACGTCACATTGTCCTGTAAAAAATTACCGATCATTTGCGAATTAGCGTGTGTGTTAAACAGACTTTACTATTGAAAGAAAAAAGTAGAATTTATCCATATCTCACACTGAATCAATTATCAAGTCAACAATCATGGATTTTGGGATCTGGACTGAGACAACTCATGCGCTTTCAGTAAGAGTAAGAGCGAACAAAGAATAAAAAAAAAAAGCAGTCGGAAAATAAAAGTAAAGGACGTGGGCACCATCCCTTTACCGTTATGGTTAATGGTAATAGCACCACGTCCACCCTTATCTAGAGACTAGTGGGACTACAGGTCATACTTTACAGTACTTACGATATCGTACAATATAAATAAACCATACAATTTCCTACATATGCATGATACAGTATATAATCAAACAGGATTATTAAAGCATAATGCTGGTGCGTATACAGTTAAAATGCAAAATACTAAGTATCAATTAATTATATGATTTTATGTATGAATAATATAATAATATTTAATCATATAATTAATTGATACTTAGTATTTTGCATTTTAACTGTATACGCACCAGCATTATGTTTTAATAATCCTGTTTGATTATATACTGTATCATGCATATGTAGGATAGTGTATTTTTTTTTCTTTTTTTAATTTTCTTTATTAATTTTTTTATTTTATTTTTTAAGGTTTTTATAAGGTTTTATTAGGAGCAGAATGTGGAATATAGGATCATACAAATACAGGATCAAGTCGTGAGGATCATTGAAAAGTACATACTTAATGTGCTTCACAAATTCAGTCATAAGTATCATTCATACAAACGTAAGCATTCTGGAACAACAAAAACCAAAAATGGTGTACCCTCATATTTGCTACAATACACTACACTGGTACAGTAATTTCTTATGAAATATTTCACTTTTACATTTGGCAAGAGCCTTGAACATCATACGACTGACAGTCCGACTTTGGCCCGTTCATCACCAGCTTTGAAGCAGGGCATCCCGAGCGGCGGGTTCGAGTGTCTTCCACTTCTAAACCACCAACCTCTCTAAAGGACACTCGGCTCGCCTGTATTTTGAAGGCCCCCGGACCGCACAGATACCATACATTTGCAAACATTCATGCCTTCTTCGAGATTCGAACCCGGGCCCTTCGATATGGCACTACCACTTTCTTATTTAGGAAGCATATGCATCAGTTACATTTCACATTAGACAAATATGTTCCTGGTATCTTTTTGGTTACAGCCGTTCTGTCAAGTGAAGAAGAGGATTCTCTGCACCTTTTAAATTACGGAGAACGTAACAGTAAAGAAGTACCTAAATTTATATAACTGCTATCACAGCAATGAAATAATTAATATTAAGGATTATTAAATATTTCTAAAATTCAAAAATACTTTTAGTTTATGAAGACCTTACAATATAAATGCTGATTTTAGGGCGTAAATCTATAATAAATCGAAACTGTGCAAACATATGAAAACAAATGTTTAGCAGCACTCGGCTGTGTAATTGCTTCATAGCTGTCAAAATTACACATGATTTCACTTTTTATGATAAGTTCGCTATATTTAAGACTTAGATGGGAAACGTTAAAAGACTTAGATGGGAAACGTTTTTTAATTTACGTTTATTTTATAAACTCTGATGCAATGGTAAATATCGATTTTGCTACAAAAACGTTTTAAGGTATTCCTAACTAAGGTTGTTCAAAATTTTGTTGTACGAGTTCCTTGTGCGGTGGCTTAATGATGCCACTATCATACCTAAAGCTTCAAAAATTCCAAATACGATGAATAACTGCAGCTAACAGCAAATCCAAATAATCAAGAGGAAATTTTATTTATTTTTCCCCTCTCGTACGTTATTTCAGTAAACATTTAATAGGGGAAGAAGTAACTTTATTTCTTTTAAAAAAATGGGGGAAAAAAGAGAGGCACTTTTCTAACAAAATTAAGCAGTAAACTTATTTTTCACTTGCCTAAGCGCAGATACCTTTTGTTGAATGTTTCTGATAGAAAGGTATATTTCTGGGAGGAATAAAAATGAAAGAAAGTGTTGGAATTTTGCATGAACTTTCTCTGCAAATTTAAGCAAATATTAAGTGATATTTCATTGAATTTTTAACTTTTCATTTCACTTCTTTTCAGATGTGTACATCCTGAAGATAAAAGTACGGCTCTTGGAGTGAAAGAAGCGTTGATTTCGCTTTTCTGTAAGAATTTTAATCATTAATTTTTTTAATTTTATTTTTTAGTTACAATTTACACATGAGTAACCTATAATTTTTATTTCCTTTTTGAGTTTTTATATAGCATAATAAAAATATAGTTAAAACACAAATTCTGGGTCGAAACTGTGTCATAAGAAACGTATGCTATTAATTGTGCTAAATGTGAAACATTCAAATCTTTCAATACTAAAATTCTAAAAAAAAAAAAAAAAAAAAAAAAAAAAAAAAGAATTGGAAAGACTGATGCTTAGCACTTTTTCCATCATTCAAATCTTCCACGTTTAACCTGACAATCAATTAAATAATTTAACTCAAAATTTTGGGAAGGCTAGTTTCGTTGACGTTAAAAAAAAGTTTAATGCACTTGGCTAATAACGTCTTCGGATTTTTCAGTTAGATGAGATTTATTTTTACACCACTTGCTCTTTATCATGTCTCAAAGAAAAAAAGGCAAGTGTCAGATCGGGAAATTTGTGTGGCCAAAATTTTACTCAAATAAATTTGAAAAAAAATGAATTTCGCATGGTGCTTTGGGGCCTGAAGAAGCGCAAGCATGCAAAAGTAAACACCATACAATGCAACAATTCAACACCCATGCATGCGGTAACATTTTCAAGGTTAACGTGAACATTTTGAGAAATGTATTTTAGAATATGGAAAAGCTCATTTAATTGTACTCAGGTGTGAAAGGAGAACATTAAGACTATATGGTGTGAACTTTATTAATTAACTCTATCTGAGAGACTTATAATACAGCTAAAGCAAGATTCACTAATAAATAAAAGACGAATCGTAACCCTAGTGAACTTTAGATGAACTCACATTTTCTGATATAAAATTTACAGAATTGAAATCTCAGTGACGTTATATAATAACTCAAAAGGGAACTTAATATCAGTCTATGTGGTCAGTGGGATATAGACGAATCGTAATCCTAGTGAACTTTAGATGAACTCACACTTTATAATATTTACAGAATTGAAATCTCAGTGACGTTATATAATAACTCAAAAGTGAACTTAATGTCAGTCTATGTGGTCAATCGAGTACAGACGAATCGTAATACTAGTGAACTTTAAATGAACTCACACTTTCTCATATAATATTTACAGAATTAAAATCTCAGTGACGTTATATAATAACTCAAAAGTGAACTTAATGTCAGCCTATGTGGTCAACGGGGTATATGCAAATCGTAATCCTAATGAACGTTAGATGAACTCACACTTTATAATATTTACAGAATTGAAATCTCGTGACGTTATATAATAACTCAAAAGTGATCTTAATGTCAGTCTATGTGGTCAATGAAGAACATGAACTTTCTAAGAGTATATGAAGTGAACTTCATTCAATTACTTTATCTCAATGACTTTTAAAACAGAATAACTAAAACATACTTAGTAAAGGATTTAACAAATAAATCCTGTACTTAGTCATATTTTAGCATTGACAGTATCTCTATGTATGTTCACAGACTGTTCATCCTCACGTTGTATGAGATTATTTACCCAGTATAAGTAAAATTTCTTGTATTTTCAGAGAATTTATACATGCCGCTGATTTTCAGGCCAGCTTGGCTAGATCTGGCAGATTGTAGATGTTCACACAGAATGAGCATCTGTTGATAGTCCTTTATAAAGGGCGTGCAATTACTCATTCTTGTGATAACCTGTATGGAATACAAGCACGGCATATTTTGCATTGCTGAATATAAATGCATGTGAATTTTGATGCCATTATCTCTCAGCATCATACTTTTTATAGGAATTAGGGCTTTTAGCTACAGAATTATGATAAAGAATATATTATTAAATATAAACTAATGGTGCACTATTAAGAAGCACGTACATTGTTTTTAAATTTTCAGGTTTTTTTTTATCAATTTCGGATATATTTTTATTAGGTACACTTGTAATTTGAAAGAAACATTAAAGACTCCCTTTCGCAAGATCGCAAGAAATTTCCTTTTTAAATATTCTAATTTCCGACTCTATAGTTTGTCTACAAAAAACGTTTGTTACGATAAATTGATTATGTCAGACCATGCGAGGTTACCTGCCTCATAAGAGGTGCTTTCGTGGATGGCTTGTATACACATGGCGCAAACCATAAGAAATATTTTTACTCCCCTACTCACAGAAACTGTACGTGGGAGGAATGAATTAAAACAATTACATAAAATAAAATCTGATGTGGAAGCCATGACTTCCTTGTACGGTCCATTAAATTATGTACATTTTTTACTGCATTTTATTTAAATTTATTTCCTCGATTTACTCTATCTTAATTAACCGATCCCGCAAGGCAAGTTGAAAATGACATCAAAAATTGCGAATTTTGAAAATAAATATTCTGGTCAATTCTTGTCGTGCTGGAATCATACGTCTTATAATTTTATTTTTTTATAACGAGTGTAAAATTTTCCCAAACATAAGTATAGAAACCAGGAGACACCATTAAATAGATTTCTTTATCTGTAAAAAAATATTATATATATTTTTTAATTCGACATTGACAAAGCATGAATAATTTCGTCCTTTAAAACACTTCTTTAACTGGAAGTATATGACTACGACCAACGATTGCCAAAATAAAGGCCGACTAAAGACTTTTAAGCCGAATAAAGAGAGTATACAGATATATATATAATATATATATATATAAATTTAAAAACAAATTTAAATTCTTTACAAATACGTATATATGTATACGTATGATAAAAAATGTGTTATAATTTCTAAAAGAAATATTAATAATATCTCTGGACTGCGTCATTTCTTGACAAAGCTGTACCAGAGCTTGCGTAATACTTAATGACGTTGGAATGAAGTAGCTGATTCGGAACCTAAGCTCTGAGAACTGAAATTTTCCTAATCTAAACCCAAAGCTTCGTTTTAGCGATTATCCATATTAGATTAATGTGTCCTTCTCTTGTATCCCTGTTGCTTCTTGGATGCCATTTCTTTGTGATTTCTTCCTGTCGCAAAAGTATTTAATTCTGAAAAGAGGCACGGTTAGAGTGGTGCCAAGTGAAATGCGATTACAAATGTGAATTTAAATAAAAATGGAATTTAGTCTGCCTAGAATGCCAAGTTATTCAAATCCATAAATTAATTAGGGATTTGCATTATACGCAGTCAAAATTCTTCCTCTTCAATACGCCATTTCCGTACTTCGTCATCAGTATTTTCTGCTTTGCTGCGTCCTTTTCATCTTTTTTTTTATTATACACAAACACACACACACACACACGCACAAACATATATATATATGCTTGGTACTGCTGAATGCAGTAAAAAAGGAAAGTACGTAAATAGATGCTTGGTATTCATACAGCAGTACCATATACGAAATTTCAACTTTGTACTCTAATCATTCAGTTATGCCAGATACATACATACGTACGTACGTATACGCCCGTCATGAAATATAATCTCTTTTGAATCGACTTTAATCCAATTTACAATCTGTTTCGGAAAAAAAGAGGCCTTTATTCTACCTCTGCATACATAACGTCACGCAAAATATTCGCCCAAATGGATTTGGAAACCATCAAAATAGATATTTCAGTTCAAATATAATACCCTGAAATTTTTCGAGATTAAAATACTTCCTTTACTTCATACAAGGAAGTAAAAATGCATTAAATTTCTAATTTTTAACATGTAAAAAAATATTTTATTAAGATTTTGTTTCAATTCATTTTAGATATTTTAGATTTATTAGCTTAAAAACCAATTTCTTTTCTTGCTGATTTTCTCATTACTGAAACACTGATTTATTTGTTCTAGGTTTCATACCATACCCGGTTGTGTTCGGTGCAATAGTAGATTCCACGTGCTTGATTTGGGAGGAGAGTTGCGGGCAGACTGGAAACTGTTGGTTTTATGACTTAAAGAATTTGAATTATTCGTTACACAGTGTAGCGGCTTTGAGCACCGTTTGTGGTGCAATATGTACGTATATTGTCTATCGTCTCAGAGGAAGACTTTACGATTTATATGAAGATGATGACAATAGCACCAAGAAAAAGGAAGAACAAATCGTGAAACTGGATACTGTATCTAACACTGTGACTCGATTATAAAGAACAATTGTGAGTGAGAAAAGTATTACGCAGTAAATGCAAATGGCAGTGTTTCCTTTGCTATGAAGTAACAAACCATAAAAATGTTACAAAAATTCATTTAAAAATAATAAAAAGTAAATCTGAAAGGTTTTAAATTTTAAAGTACGTCCCAAAGAGGCGTTTTTTTTTTGTTTTGTTTGTTTTTTTTTAGCATTTTGTGTGTTACCTTTATTTATCAAATATCACGTCCTTCGCACTTAAACCATAAAATTCATTTCATGAGTAATATCGCAAAATAATTTTAAATTGAGCATATCTTTAGATTTTCCAATGCACAGTCTCCGCATTGGGGATAAAAATGTGTTTTCTGTACAACGTTGCCGTTGCTCGCTTTAAAAACAAAGATATCTAGAGCCATCAATTTTTGAATAACCTAGTTCTCCCTTCCTTCTCCCCCCCCCCGAAAAAAAATATGGGCACCTGGAAACTCGAATGTTGGATTTCGACTTTGTATTATCTATTTCAGATTTTGTTAAACTTAACTAATTTTTACTTAAGAAGCTCAATGATTTCAAAGCGAGCAGTGGCGACTATTGTGTAGAATTAAATATTTTTATCTACAGTACGCGAGGACAATATATCGGAAATTCAACAGATATGATGTTTTTAAATATTTTTAATCCAAAGGGGCGTTAGCCGAAATGCTCTCAAAACGTGTATGTATGTATTTGTAAATGAAAAACGCCCCTTTGGGCTTAATATAAGTTCTGAAATATTTGAGATTTTTTTTCATATATTTTAATTTTTTTTCCGAATCAAATATATATATATATGCAGTCAGTTTTATATGTCTTCATCTAATCAAATTATGTTAACCTGTTTGATATACATTTATAACATTATAGCAACTTCTGTAATAATTTTCTTCCAAGACCGACAATTTGAGAAATTTAGTACCGAGGACTCTTCCTATAGATTTCTTGCTCAAGCAACAAAAAATTTATTTCCGATTACCCTTTCTGTGGACTTCCAACTAAGCAATAAAAGAGGAACTTGGAACACTATGATTGTGGTCTTTCTAGCATTGTTTTGCTGCACATTTTATACCGCAAGGATCATTAACAGGGAAAAGAAATGCAGTAAACTGTACAATTTTGCTTTAAAAATTACAATACACTTTGCTCCTACTTAGCCGTGGGAGAAAAATTTCGTCACTTACTCAAAGGGGGGAAACCCGTCAAGGGGTGGGAAACCCGAAATATCTCAGATTTTATGTTACTTAGAAAGGGACATTTTTTTTTTTTTTTCACATTTACACATACATACACATTTCGAGAACATTCGGGCTAACGATACTTTGCGATAAAAATATTTAAAAGCAGCATATCTTTAGAATTTCCGACGAACAGTCTGGCGCGTTGGAGATAAAAATATTTTATTCCCAACATAAATTTGTCAATGTGTTGTCAATGCTCGCGTTGAAATCGTTGTGTTTCCTAGTAAAAACTTCGTCATACTTTAAAAAATATGAAACAGAAAATAAAAAAGTTCAAAATTCAAGACTCGGGCTTCCAGGTGCCCATATTTGGGTGGAGGACTACGTTATTCAAAATTTGATGACTCTAGGTATTCTTGTTTTTTCAAAATGCGAAAAACCTTCATATAGATGCTTCATAATTTAATTCCTTTAAATATAATACAGGAGCGATAGTATTTAGTGGCAACAATTTGAAATGTGAAACAGCTTTTTATGGTGATTTGAAGCAAAATGCCGTTTCGAGACTAGTAGCCCACCTGGAATAACGCTCCTTTGGGCTAAAGAAATCGACTTGATTTATGTGCAGATTTTAGACCAAAACTTAAAAGCTTACATAGAACGTAAAAAGGCTGTGCAAAAATCGCATACTCATCTATGGTTTTAAAGTACACCAACATTTACTTAATATGTAGTTCATATAGTAAAGATTATCCAATCCCTAATATCCTTGATTTATTAAAAATCCATACAAACTTTCTTCTGGTAACTTATTTACTTAATACTGATGCACAATTAAATAAACTTCAATCATTTAATGTTGCTAATTAAATTAGATTAATCTAATTACAGCTAAACAAATTTAATGTATTAATTATTCTAAATTTTATGCTACACAACATTTGCATTTTTAAAATATTAAGGTACTGTTATTAACATACGCAAAAAGTCGCTTTCAAGGGGGATGATTATGAAAACTTATGTATTTCACACAAAATAAAATTAAAAGAAGAAATATTCATTGAATTATAAATACTTTATACTTTGAATCCCATAAATTTCAGTTATTTTAAATGGGTACTATCACAGAAAATACATATAAATACTTAGATTAACATTTTCTTAAAATTTTAAGCACAGATATTTTATTAAAATATTTAAAAGACATTTTTAAACCTTACATTTTTAACATTTGAGAGTTATTGTAAATCGACTAAACCAAATGATTTCAGTTTAGGCACGTGACAGAAGTCTAACTTAGAAATTCCTTTGCAAAGAATGACATGGCATCCGAAGGAATATCTCAAATAAAATCTCGGCAGTAGAGTTTTGTGATAATTACATTTTTAAATCACGGGAATATAATAATTACATTTTTAAATCACGAATTACACGGAAATAAAACAAAAAGTAGCCATTTCGATAGATTTCCCTGTTTGTTTGAATTTTATGTAAAATATCACTGTTTCCTAGATTTGATGTTTCGACAATCTTGCACTTAAATTGAATTTGTTTAAGGAATTATTTTTCGATATTTATTAATTGTTGAAGTTGCCCATTTATTGCAAATTAAAAATGTTTAATCTTTGTGAAAAAATTCTGTACTTTCCTAATGTATTTGCTCTAGCAGAATAATACATTTCTGGTATGTTTCTCAAAATAAGTCACATTTTCTAGAAATTTTGAAGCAGAAAAGGTAACAGTATTTCATAGCATTTCAGTAACAATTTGATATGAGAGCAGTCATAGCATTCATACATTCATTCACTGCGTATCGATTATGTATACGTATTTACGCTTAAAAATGCATGCTCGACTCATGTTAATAAATTATCATTTTATTTTTTCATTCTTGAATAACGAACAAAGCTCTTTTGATAATTATCACTTCTCATTTTAATTGAATTGAAAAATATAAGTTATAACTTCAAATATATATTAACATCAAAGTGATTGATTTTAAACCAAAAAGAACATGAAACAACATGTAAAATTTATTGAGTATGATTTAATTAATGAAATTATAAAAATCTATGTTTAGAATTTTGCGACGTTGAATTGAAAATTAGGCATTACAATTACATTCCAGTACAGAAGACAGAAAATATTCATAAAAACTTTCATATGCTAAATATATTGGATTCTAGAAACGTGAAGTTAAAATCCTTGAGTTTTATATAATAGGAGTTTCAATGAAATAATATTTACCTTCGATAACATTTATCGCTGCATTATTAACAAAAGTATATGCTAATACTGACAAATAAGCAATCTTGAATATTTCACCATATTCAGAACATCAAAATTTAATTGATCACAATTTCATTGTGTAAACAAGAAATTATATGAATATTATATATGTGTGTTATTAATCGTTCATTGAGTTCAGTATCTGTGTAACATCTAGACCAAAACTAAACAAGAAATTCAAAGACCAAGAAATTAAACATCCTATCATTGTTAAAAATACTGAAAAATTGTAACGAATTTTCTCATGAATTTCCATATACTTCAAGAGAACTTCCATATACTTTATAAACTTGAATACTATGAAGTATCACATATTTGGATATTTACTCGCTCTCTTACAGTTGCATTAGCATTTCGGCACTGTTGTTTATATTTGAAAGAATTATTTTAAACACTGCTACAGCACCTAGGAAAAACATCATTGAGAAAAGTATGCTCCATATGATGTCGGAATAGTTATTGTCGAATTCAAGGCTGTTATTTGTAACATACCATCTTTTAAGTTCCGTGCACTTGCAGATTTGGCAGGGTGCACTGGCATTTTCTGCATGGAAGTAAGTGGCAATACTCGGAAGGAAATATTTCTGGCAGTTGTACAAGTCATCTCTATTCTTACTGCTTTCTTTGGCACTTTTCGAAATAGGTACTATTATCATAATATCAGAGCAGGAACATCTACATTCTTCTACACTTTGTGTTATACTTGCCTTGTAAAATATCCAGCACAATCCGAAGAATCCAACACCGAAACTTAAGAACAAAACCAAGCGCAAAATATTCATACTGACAAATATTATTATATACTGGCAAATATTACTTTATGTTATTTAAGGGCAAAAAGTCGTCGGAGAGGCAAAGTTAGAATTTAGACATTGTGTTTTCCCATTGTGTCCTTAATCTAAAACTTAAACACTGAATCATTCTTTTCTGGTAAATCTTGATTGTGTGTAAATTTAGTCTTTAGTCGGTAACCTCCATTAATTTTGTTGATCTTCGTTTATCTTTTTCATCAATCCAGAGATAATAAGCACAAATTCAACTGAATAGAAACTAACAACTGATAACAGCCAAACGCAAATACTTTGTCATCCCCATTCGTGTACTTTCAATCCTATCTTAAAAATGACTAGTAATTTTTTATGTTGCAAATTGATTGCAAATTAGAAGCATCAACAACAATTTTGCTTTTCAGTTTATTTGTTTTGGGAAGGGAATTTCAGTTCTTAAAATAAATGCCACATTTTGCCTTAACACAATGGAGTATTAAAAAAAATGAAGAAAATCTGAAAGCTTTCAGATTTTATAATACGGTCAAAGGGGCGTTTTTTAACATTTTATGTGTCACCTCTATTTATTAAATATCATGTTATTCACACTTAAACCACATAAAATTCAATTCAACAGCAATATCACAAAATATATCAAAATAACATATCTTAAGAATTTCCGATCGACAGTCTCGCATGCTGGAGATAAAAATACCATTTTCTGTACAATGTTGCCATTGCTCTCTTTGAAATCGTTGAGTTTGTTAATCAAAAATTCATTAAAGGTTTACGAAATATAACAAAACGCCCGTGTTCGGATGGAGGATTACGTTACTCAAAAGCTGATGGCTTTAGGTGTCCTCGTTTTTTTACAATGCGACAAAAATGCTTACATTCATGCGCATTTTCCTTTATTTAATTTCTTTTAAAATAATACAGGACCATAATATTTCATGGCAACAATTTGAAAAAGGATTCCACCTTTCACATTGATTCAATGCAAAATTCCGTTTCGAGACCAACAACCTTTTCGAGCTAACGCTCCTTTGGGCTGGAAAAAATATTATGGTAGGCTCTCTCTTTTAGTTTAAAGAGCCGCTCGTGTTTGATGGTTAAAATTAGTAATAGAAGTGTAAGGATGCTATAAAACAAGTAAAATAAATAAAAGATTTCACACACACATATGCTTTATTTTTTATTTATTACATTTATTCATTCAAGGTAACCGACCGCGTTCAACAGCCCGATTTTGGCTAAAAATCTCAAACATATTTTATTTCACATTTTTAAAGGCCAGACTCTTAGCTATCAAAAGCAACTTTTCTTCTCTTGGTATGTTTATTAGAAGTGAAGATATACCAGTTTTTCTGGGAGATGATAAAGCGGAAGTTATTGTTTCCCACAGCGGAAGTGAAAGTTAAAATTGCAAATCAAAAATGCAATTTTCCCCCTTTTTATGTTATTTATTAACCAAATAATTGTAAGCATTTCAATTAACCTGGAGAATCTGGCAAAGTATTTTTATTGAGATCTTTCTCAGTTTCCTTTGGCAAAGTAAATAGTTGTGTATGTATGTCATGTACTAATAATCTGAGAACTTTGAATGCTAATTTTGATAATTTTTTTATGATTTATGTTCTTATGTTCATGAAACCATGATAGCTCTAAACGTTCCTCATAAAATCACCTGAAATTTTGCACACAGAGTTGAGATATTATTACGTATGATGGAGATTAAGAGTTAAAAGTTTAGCCTTACAGAATTTAAATTATGTAATTTTTCCTTCATTAG